AACAACAACAACAATGCCTCAACTGCCAACTGCAGATGTTTGTGGCTGACCAGGCCGCTTGACATTTCCTAAGGCTCAGTCCTGCACCAGGCACAAGGGAAACAGGAATGAGACATGCAACCTCGCCCAAGTGTCTCTTAGCCCACTCGGGCAGAGGATGAGGATGAAGCAGTGGGATGTGTACAGATGGGGCAGTGGGCTAGAGTGAATGTCATTGTCTTCATGGAGTCATTGAAAAATTGGGATTTGGCAGACCTGGGTTCGATGTGTGTTTCTTACCCTGTCACCTTGGACATGCATTTCAACCTATGTGAACCTTACTTTCCTCATCTGGAAAATGGTAGCAATTCCAGCTGTTAACACAGGTAAAGTCCTAGTACAGTACCTGGCATAGTGGGTGCTCAGTCAATGCTGCTGGTATAGTCATGACTGATGATATCAGGGATGGCTCCCGAGGGATGCCTGCTGGGCCCAAGATACGATCTCCTTGGCATGTCATTTTGCCATCCTGAGTGTCCCCTCTTTAGACTTTTGTGGTCTGCAATTCAGAGAGGCTGGTTAGGTCCCCTTTGGAAGTAGCTGCCTCTCCACCATTTGTGTGGTCAGCATGTAGGACACCAGGTGGTGTATGAGGTGCTTCCTGCCCATTAGGTGCTCTGTAGGGCAGCTCTGCCTGCCTTGGGAGACTAACCTGGCCACCTCCCTCTTTTCCTGCAGTCAGCATTCTCACAGCTGCGGTTAACGCCTGGCCTGCGGAAGGTCCTCTTTGCCACAGCCCTGGGGACTGTGGCCTTGGCCCTGGCCGCTCACCAGCTGAAGAGGCGACGGCGGAGGAAGAAGCAGGTTGGCCCCAAGATGGGAGGTGAACAGCTGGGCACGGTGCCTCTCCCCATCCTGATGGCCAGGAAGGTCCCGTCGGTGAAGAAAGGTAGGTGTGAAGTGGTGGGGAAAGGCCTGACCAGGGTTCAAGTCCCAGCTCAGCAGGTGACTTCCCATCTTCTATCAGGAGTCTCCTTGTCTGTGAAGTGGGGGTAACAGTGACATCTGCTCTCTGGAGTCCTTATGAAGGTATGGTAGATGACGTGCCCAGTCAGTGGAAGTTGTTCTGATTGTTTTTATTGTCTGAGGACCCCTTTGGGAGCACGTGGGTCCAGAGGCAGCTAGTGGGGTATGGCTCTTTGGTACAGGGAGAGAGGCTCCCTAGGTTTAGGAGCAAGAAGGGGTGTATGGTTACTGAGCCATACGATAGTTTAAAAAAAATAAATAATTTATGTACAGTAAGATGTGGGAGCTCTAGTGGCATAGTGCCTAAAGCATTTGACTGCTAACCAGAAGGCTGGTGGTTCAAACCCACCGGCCACTTCTTGGAAGGAAGGTTGGGCAATCAACTTGCGTAGAGATACTGCCTCAGAAACCCAAGGAGGGGTGGTTATGAGTCGGATCCGACTCAATGGCAGTGGGTTGAGTTGAGTTGAGTTGACAGAAAGATTTGCACACGATCAATTAAGAACTTTTCCATCACCCTGTAAATTTTCCCATATCCCTTTGCAGTTAGTCCCTCTCCTCTCTCCCCAGGCCCTGGCAGCCACTGATGTGTTTTGTGGTTGCTCGTGTGGTTTTTTCTCGTTCTTCTTTTTTTTTTTTTAGTTGGTTTTAAATTATAAATACAGATCTACAGATGGAAATAGATTGATTCATATTTTTTTCCTGAGGATTTATTCCTAAATATTTGAAAGAACAAAGATGCAGAAAAAAGTTACATAGTGTGCTTCTCTTTTTTCAGTTGATTTTTTTGTTATAAGACAGATATATATCTAGAGATGGGTTGGTTTAGATTTTTTCTTAAGCAATAACTCCTCATAGCCCCCTGTTAATCATAACCCAGAAACTTAGTGTTTATCACTGACATGTCATATGGATCTTTTTCCAAGATAGGGAGTTCTCCTCTTGGGAGAAACCCTGTTTTAAGAAGCAAAAGTTTCCTGTGAAAATGAATTTTAATTGTGAATTACCATTGCAAAAGGGAAGTTTTATCTTTACAATTGGAAAAAGTAAGTTTCTAGACTAGACTAGAGGCACAGATAGGACCATGAGATGTGCACTGGCCGCTGGCCACCTGGGACCACTGACTCCACTGGCTCTGAACTTGTCGCACTGTGCCGTACCACTGCCACGTCCCACCTCATCTTCCCTTTCTTACTTTTCCCACTTTCTTTCTGAAAAAGGTCATCCGTGTATGATTTTAAAGAGGTGTGGCCTCAAGTCCCCTTTGGAACAAGGAAAATTCTAAGTCAGTCATGTAATCAGCAACACAGAGAAAACCTAGTGAAAGGGAGGTGGGGAAGTAGCTGGATCTCATGCTTAGCTTTTCTTGGCGGATCTAGGCCCTTCCTCTGGGCCAGGCCCTGGTCTGGGTGATGGGGATATGGTAGTGAGCAGGACAACAAGCAGGGGCCCAGCACTGTTCTGCTGCATACTCAACAGAGTATTCTGACAGTACCCTGACTTATAGGTCAAGATTGGCGCTCAGACATGGGACAAGGGGAGGGTGGTTGAGGTGAGGGGATGGCGTACGCAGAAGCAGGTGCGAAACCTTCAGTGACCCCTGCCCTCCTGCTCCTCACAGGATACTCCAGCCGGAGGGTACAGAGCCCCAGTAGCAAGAGCAATGACACTCTCAGTGGCATTTCTTCCATCGAGCCCAGCAAACACTCCGGCTCCTCCCACAGCTTGGCCTCGGTGAGGACCTGGGTGTGGGCTGCCAGGCGAGGCTGGGCAGGGGCAGCGGGGTGCCTGTCACGGCCTCTGGGCTCAGTACCAAGTTCTATGTAGGTCCTAATCTCTACCCTCAGGAGGCTTATTGACTGGTAGGGAGAGGAGAGAAGAGGTTTCGCTCATTCATTCATTTATTCATTCAGTCAGTCTTCATGCACCCATGTGTACATCCATTCATACAGGCTTCCAGAGATTTTTTATTGATCACTTGCATGTGCCAGGCATTGGTGAGAGAAAGGTGGATAAGATGCAAAAGAGAAGTTTTTGGTCTCCTGAGGAAGATACTTATCTGTGAAATCTCATTCATTCGTTCATTCATACATTTAACCTACTTTGTTCTGGGGACTCTGCTAGGCAGTGGGGCTATGGAGGTAAACAAAACCAGGAGGAGTGTGTTTTCTCTTGGGTAATGGCTTTTGGTTCATTCATCTGTTCAGTTATTAATTCACTTAGCAAGCCCCAAGTCCCAGCTCTGAGCCAGGCACTGTTCTGGGGACACAGGGATGGGTGAGAGATGGTTGTTGTCTGGGAGGAACCCACAGCCTGGGAGGATGTGTGAGGATGGATGGATATGGCCCTTGTGCCTGGCCTGACCTATAACGGCTGGTGTCTCAGTCCTTCTTGACAGACTGGTAGAGGAGGCCTAGAACAGAGAGTGGGTAGCGTCTTTCTGGAGTTGGGCTCAGGGCAGGATTTATCAGAGGCTGCTGGTTCCTGGGCCAGCTGTTGGCTTTGGTATTTCTTCCCACTTAGGCAGTTTCTGTGAAGCATCATTAGGCACTCACTTGGAGTTTGTAGAGCAGCTGTGCTAGGGCCCCAAATGCTGTGGGCAGGGGCTAGTTCAGGGATGATATTTGAAGAGGGTATGAGAAAGGCTCAGGGGGATCCTGCAAAGGGCCCAGGAAGGTCTCACTCCATGCCCTCGGGTCCCTGTGCTGCTTGGCGCTCAGATGGTGATAGTGAACTCATCCAGCCCCACGGCTGCCTGCTCAGGACCATGGGATACCAGAGCAATGGAGGAGTCTGTGACGGCGAGTGATGGCAACGCTGAGAGCCTCTACATGCAAGGTAGGGCCTGGAGGCTGGCCTGTGGGCTTTCCTGGGACAGGATAGAGGAATGACCTCCTTCCGGTGCCCAGGCCAGACTCAGGATACTTTCAGTGCCACTTTGCCTCCACTACGTGCCTCCAACCACCCCAGTCAATGGTTCCCATCCATTTATGGGCAGGGGATGGTCTCCAGGAACCATTCTGGTCTGAATGAAGGCCTATAAACTGATAAACCATGAAAAAGGGATCAGGACCTAAGGCGACCATCCTACCAGGCTCTCGTCCTTCCAGGCCTTCCTGTTCCCTAGCCGTTCTAAGGCCTCTTCTGAGTAGGGCTTTGTGGGACCAGGCTGCTCTCTGTCTGCTGGAGCCTGACTGTCCCTTTTCTTGTGCTGTGCACAGGCATGGAGCTGTTTGAGGAGGCTCTGCAGAAGTGGGAGCAGGCACTGAGTGTGGGGCAGAGGGGGGAGAGCAGCAACACCCCCACACCGGGGGACAGCCTCCAGAACCCAGAGACGGCTTCAGAGGTGCTGTCTGAGGTAGGTGGTCTTCCCCTGTATACCCTCTTCCCTTGCAGTGGGAAAGTGTTGGCAGCATGGAACAAGAGGCACCCTAATTTTAGCAGCTTCCGCTCTGTGCCTTGGGGAAGGTTAGTCATCCCTTTACAAGAGTGCAATAACTCATGGAATTACTAAATAATTCCCAAAGTAAATAACTCATGAAAAGTGTTTAACACAATGCCTAACAAAAACACTCACTGCCATCAAGTCAATTCTGATTTCACAGTGACTCCCAGTGGCTTTCTGAGACCGTAAATCTTTACATAAGTAGATCGTACCCCATCTTCACAATACCTAAAGCACTTAGTAATTACTCAGTAAATACAGGCTGCCATTATTAATGGTTATTCATTATTAGTAATAAATAATTTAATACCAGTTAATTAGCATAAGCTTTTTGGAGCACAGAATGGGACCGGGTAACAGAAGCTATGATGATGCTCACACTCCATTCTCAACTACGTAAGGAAGCTCTGCTCCTGAAAGATTGGAAGGAAATAGGCTTATGATCATAGTTGATAAGACTATAGGACTTTTGCTTTTTTGTTTTGTTTTGTTTTTAATATACCTTTATCTTTCTAACATCATTTAAGTATCTACTTTCATACGAGTAGGCCAAAACACAGACAATGGGCCTATAAGTTCATGTGAATGATCAGAATTCCCAGGTGTATAGTAGAGCTGACAAGGGGCAAGGTTATGGTCATTGCTTGGTCACAGCCAGCTACCCAGAGGGACCGAGTAGTTGATCCTGCAGGCTTGGAACCATAGTCGCAGGGGACATCAAGCTCAATTGGCATAACATACTATACAAAACATCATTCCACCTACTACTTTGGCGAGTAGCGACTGGGACCTTAAAAGCTAGGAAGCTGCCATCTAGACGCAACAACGGGTCTCTCCTTGTCAAGAAGAAAGAAGAAAACCAAAATTAATTGAAACAATCAGTCCTAGTGACTGGTACACCATCCGATCTGCAACCTATACAACTATGAGACCAGAAGAACTAGATGGTGCCCAGCTACCACTGCCATCCACTTGGAAGGGATGTAGGAGATCCTGCATAGAGAGGGAGAACAATGTGGAACAAAACTCAAAATCATTTGGAGGAAAAAAAAAAAAAAGAAGGTCGGGACCAGGTTTGCTGGTCCAATAGAGCCTGGTGTAACCACTGAGACTATGGCCCCTAGCTGCCCTTCAGGTCTGGAATTGAACCCACAACTGTGGTTTCCAGCCAAACAAAGTATAGGCATGTCAGTTAAACATTTACCTCAAGTAGACACACGCCCTGGAGAGAACAATCATAGGAGAAGGAAGGGCTGCTTATGCACAGGGAGATAGCTCAGGGTGCAGAAGAGTATGAAGGGATGGAGACTGGGAGGAGGTAACTACGGGGAGGAAGTGGGAGGGGAGCTGTTGCATTGTAAATTGTGGTCAATGACATGAGACAAAGTATATGTGAACTGCTGTATGAAAAGTGAATTTACTCTGTAAATCTTCACCCAAATCCTAATTAAAAAAAAAAAAAAAAAAAAAAAAAAAGAGTAGGCCAAAACATATGTTCTAGAATGTTGATTGAAGCATTGCTTAGTCATATTTTCAAAAAGCACAAAAAACCTGTAAACCACATGCCTGTCAGTGGGGGGACTAGAGTCCTAAGCAGCCATTAAAAAGGCAGAGGGACAGCTGTGTGAGCTGATGTGTTACTGTATCCAAGATCCCTCCTTAAGAGAAAAAAGCAAGATGTGGAACCGTCTGTGTAGTGGGATCCTGTGTGGGTAAATGTTTATAAAGCTGTGCATCCAGGCATATGGACACTCGGGGGTCAGTGCTGGTTTGTGGGTGTGTTTTTATTTTCCCCCAGAAGGATACACAGGAAATTGCTAACAACAGTTCTTTATGCAGAGAGGGTCTGGAGGGTAAGGTGGGAAAAGGCTTTTATTTCACTTTTCTGTGCTTTTCAGCACCTTGCTGTTCTGTTTGACTTTTCTAATTTTAAGCATGTGCTCCTGGGCAGGGCTTATGTGGGTGGTGATACTGAGAGCTGATGTTTTATTCTTTGTGCCTGCCGTATTTAAATAAATTTAAAAAAAAAAGCCCCCTGATGAGTTCCTGTCCTCTACTGAAATGAGGTCAAGTGTGGGTAGGGGGGTCACCTCTTGGAGAAGCAGGGTGCCAGTATCTGGAGAATCAGTCGGTCTAGCCAGGAAGAATGAGAGCAACTCCAGGGATTAACAACAGGGCAGTTTAACCCAGGGAATTGGTTATAAAGGTGAGGGAGGAGAGGCCCAACGAGATGGGGAGGGAGCCTGCAGGGTAGCAGTGGTACAAAGCCATTTCCTTCTCTAAGGCTGGCGGTTCAAACCCACCAGCCACTCCTCGGAAGGAAGGTTGGGCAATCCTACTTCCGTAGTGATACTGCCTCGGAAACCCAAGGAGGGGTCGCTATGAGTCGGGGCTGACTCGACAGCACATAACAACAGCAACAACAACCCCTCCCCCAGGGCTGGAGGGACAAGGAAATGAGGGGGTATGTCCAGAGTCATCTTTCAGAGACTTAGAACCACCGTGGGGACTGTCCAGCATGAGATGTGCCCTCTTGGGGCATGGGGATGGAGATACAGCCTGAGACAGGAGGAGGAAAGGAGATTTTCTCTGCCCCTCCTCTTCATCCTTCCACCTGTGCCTCCTGTTGGCTGAGAGCCAGTTGGTTGGGTGTCCTGGCAAACAATCTGCAGAAGGGTGGAGACATTCCTGGCACTGTCAGTAACATGGTGAAGATGTACATGCCCAGTACTCCACGAGAGGGCATCAGCTCAGAGGCTTGTCACACAAATTGGACTGCTGTAGTTGTGGGGACATGAAAATCCAAGGAAATGCCTGGTGCACAAAGTGAAGACACCCATGGGTTACAAACCCTTCAGTGCCCTTGGTTGCAGCTGTTTCAGATTGGGTCTGTGTGTGGGCAGAGAGTGGGCACCTGTGGAATGTGTAGGTTCAAGGAGTAAAGGGAGATAGATGGCTTTATTCCCAAAATTGTATTTATTGCTAATACTACAATACAGAACTCTCATTGTTTTTCATATCGTGAAAGCAATGAAATAGTAAGCATTCTTTATGTTGTTAACTGTTGAGGTGGCTCCTGACTCCTAGTGACCTCAGCCACAGTGGAATCAGAACACTGTGAACCATAGTGTTTTATGGGCTGAGTTTTAGAAGTAGATCACAAGGCCTTTCTTTCTAGTCTTTTTAATAATGGTGAAAATTACAGAAATAGAAAAGAGGGAGGAAAAAGCGCAGGCTCCAGCCAGACAGATGATGGCTGTTGTCCAGGACAAAGGCTCTCCGCCTCCCTGAGAGCTGGTGTTCTTGGGAACTCTAGAAGTAGCTGTAGAGGCCTACTCCTTGGTAGGTGCTCAATAAATTATCTTTGTTGTCAGTGTTATTGACAGCTAGAATTCTTCATCCAGGCATAATCAATTTGTATCCTTACAGACATTTTTTATGATACAATTTTTAAACAGCTTTGTTGTTGTTGTTGTTGTTGTTAGGTCCCATTGAGTTGTCTCCGACTCTGTGGACAACAGAATAAAACTCTGCCCTGTCCTGCGCCACCCCCACAGTCCTTGCTGTGATTGAGCCCATTGTTGCAGCCACTGTGTCAGTCCGTCTCATTGAGGGTCTTCCCTTTTTCACTGACCCTCTGCTTTACCAAGCATGGTATCTTTCTCCAGGGAATGATCCCTTCTGACAACATGACCCAAGTAAGTGAGGCAAAGTCTGGTCATTTTCTCTTCTAAGGACCGATCCACCTGTACTTCTTTCAGGACAGATTGTTTATTCATCTGACAGTCCATGGTATATTCAGTATTCTTTGCCAATACCACAGTCCAAACGCATCTACTCTTCTTTGGTCTTCCTTATTTATTGTCCAGCTTTCATGTGCATATGAGGCAATTGAAAATACTGTGGCTTGGGTTAGGTGAATCTTAGTCTTCAAAGTGACATCTTTGCTCCTTAACACTTTAAAGAGCTCTTTTGGAGCAGATTTGCCCAGTGCAATGTGACATCTGATTTCTTGACTCCTCCTTCCATGGGTGTTGATTGGGGATCCAAGTAAAATGATATTCCTGACGACTTCAACCTTTCTTCCACTTTTCTTGATGCTGCTTATTGGTCCAGTTGCAAGGACTTTTGTTTTCTTTATGTTGAGGTGTAATACATAATGAAAAGTGTAGTCTTTGATCTTCATCAGTAAGTGCTTCAAGTCTTCACTTTCAGCAAGAAAGGTTGTGTTATCTTCATATTGCAGGTTGTTAATCCTGATACCGTGTTCTACTTAATATAGTCCAGCTTCTTGGATTATTTGTTCAGCATACAGATTGAATAAGTATGGTGAGAAGATACAGCCCTGACGCACGCCCTTCCTGATTTTAAACTGTTGAATGTCCCTATGTTCTGTTCAAATAACAGCCTGTTGGTCTTTGTACAGGTTCCTCATGAGCACAATTAGAAGTATTCTGGAATTCCCATTCTTATTAATGTTATCCATAATTTGTTATGACTACATAGTCGAATGCCTTTGCATAGCCAATAAAACACAGGTAATCATCTTTCTGCTATTGTTTGCTTTCAGCCAAGATCCATCTGGCATCAGCAATCATATCCCTTGTTCCACTTCTTCTGAATCCAGCTTGAAGAAGTTCCCTGTCAATATACTTCCACAACCATTTTTGTATTATCTTCAGCAAAATTTTACTTGTGTGTGATATTAATGATATGGTTCAATGATTGCCACATTCTGTTGGATACTATTTCTTTGGAATGGGCACAAATATCAATCTTGTCCAGTTGGTTGGCCAGGTAGCTGTCGTCCAGATTTCTTGTCATGAATGAGTAAGCACTTCCAGTGCTGCATCTGTTTGTTGAAACACCTCAGTGGGTATTCCATCAATTCCGGGAGCTTTGTTTTTCACCAA